TATTTAATAATTCCGTCCTTAATATTAAAAAAAATACAATTCAAGTCCTGCAGACATTTGAGAGCTGTTTTTACGGCTTTGAAATGATATGAAGTTCTCATCTCTAGAATGAGGAACTTCTGACTTTCAAAATAGTGTTTAACTATGGTTCCTAAAAATCTATGCCAGCATAACCAGTGATAAAAGAATGCTGGTAGTTGTAGATCAGGAACCTCTGGAAGAATATATTGTCCCTGCTCCAAAGAACAGAATTGCTCCTGAAACTACACGCTATCAAAGAAGTTGGACTCCAAGGAGTAGGGAAAGAGAAAGCTTTCATTTTTCATAGAAGAAACAAACAACACTGTAAGAAATATCCCATCATTATTATTGGGGAAGTCTTTCAATATTTAGAAAACAATGTTTAAAGAGAAACATACAAATATGGAGAAAAACCATACAGTTCCTGTATATCTCCAAGGGATTATTCAGCAACGTTTACTAGAGAAATCCTTATAGTATTACAAACATGGTCTTTTTTCTTGAGAGAAATCAATCTGACAGGCCTGACTTCCCTAAAGACCCGATTCTTCCCTATTTCTACTCAGCATGTCTAGCTTTCCCACATGAGCTTTTACAAAGGAACCCCAGAGAGCAGCACTGCATCAAAAAATTATTATTACTATTATTATACACCTAATAGGCATTTAAAAATTCAGTGACTGTTCCTATTCATTTGGGATATTATGAAATGCATCATTATCCTCCATGAGGAAAACAAAATAAATGAAATATGAGATAATCTGATGCTTCATCAAAATTATGGACTGAAATAAAATTTGGATTATTAATTTTTTAGAACAATTTTAGTCACCCAGAAAGACAACTGGTGGTGGCATGATCAGGAAAATAATTCTGGACTCAGTTGAACAACCCAAGATATTTCTGCTCTAGAAAAGTAACCTTTGTAATTGGAAGGGAATAAGTTAATTTCTATATTAAAATATCCTACGGATCATGTATGGAATACTGCATATAGTTCTGATTACCACATCTGAAAAAGGATTTTGTAGAGTTAACAAAAACCCCTAAAATGATAGGTTAGACCGGAATAGTTTCCTTGGCTTATAGGAAAAATAATTGCATCTTTTAAAAAATGAAAACAGGTAAGGGAAGATACAAAAAAAGTACATAAAATCATGCATGGTATGCAATGTGTCACTAGAGAAAAGTTCTTATTTCATACAATATTAAAATTCAGGATAATCAAATAAATCTAAGTGGGAAGAGACCGAAGAGCAATAAAAGGAAGTATCTCTTTACACAATGCATACATAGTTCATCTGTGGAATTTGCTGCCATTAGATGTGATGATAGACATCAATTTATATGGTTCTGAAAGAGGACATATCATATCCATAGAGATAATGTGACATTTCAGAATTTTTGACAAATATTCAGAACAGTTTGAAGTGACTCATGTATTGGTCATATAAATGCAGCTGTAAAAATATTATTTCTTCATATCCCTTGAAAAATGAGGCAGAAACAGGTACACTTAATACAGCTCAAATATTTCACATTGAAAGAGAAATAATATGCATTTTTGCTTCTCATCCCCAGATAGGTAGGAAAGCAGTAATATTACATAACTATTTTTGTTTTATTTTTCCAATGTCTAGTTATCTATGAGACATTCTGTTTATATGAGTATATGCTCTACAGCATGGATTACAAAACTTTTTTAAAAAATCCTACCATAACAGTGATTTTATACAGCTATTTCTATTTACACTGCGGCCATCTCTTTCATAATGCCTAATGGCAAAATCAAATAAAACAATTTCAGAAAACAACCGGTCTTTTATTCTCAGTAGTAGGACAGGAAAAAGCTCCAAGTCTCAGTGGGACCATAATTTATAAATGCATTATATGGTGTTCACTCCACAAGACTTTTTTCAAAAACAAAAACGAGGAGAAACTTAGAAATCATTTTAGAACATACATAGGTAGAAAGGCTGTAATTTGGAAGAACCATTTTTATTTACAAAGTATGATTGTTTTATTGGAGTGCAATTTTAAAAAATCTGCATAAAACAAAGCCACTCTATAGATTATAACAGATTATATATAGTTTAAGTCACATAGAATTTTTGAAACTCTGGAGGCAGAAGATGGTAGGGGAATAGGACAGAATCTAACCAACTCTGATACTCCTCAAACAATAAGTAAATTTGGTATTTTATTTTTTTCAATTAAAATAACTACTGTATTGAAAAGTTGCAATTAGATCACATTTTTCTGTGTTGTTTTATTTTGTATCTAAGACACCATACATACAATGTACCCAAGAAGCATAAAAATTCCTTTAAAAAACCCAAATCATGAAACATAGTATAGTTACAAAATAAAACAATGCCAACCATTGTTATCAGGCAAAAATTTCACTCCATTCCATTAGATTCAGACATATAAAGAATTAAAGGAAAACCTGACTTTTCAATGATGGTAAATGTGCAGTTATCTGGTTTTGGATTGGGAGGGGGGAGCTTTTAAAAGGACCAGCACCATTTTGGTGTTTTGTCTTTTCTGCTATCAAAACTGTCCTGCATATAAAACTGGGTCGAAGATCAAGGAATTACACAGCAAGCTACTGAATGTTAGAAACAATACACAATGTATTTTCTTTAATGCATTGTGATCAGAGTTGCATGATTTTGTGTTTTGTGTGCATCCCTTCAGGAGATTCTGGGCTGAAGAAATGACTTCAAAAGTAATTATTCATTTTGTCCTCTTTTCTTCTTTTGTGTCTTTTTATTTCCTTCTATTCTTTAACCTTGATATACATAATAAAAAGTTGAAATTTAATAAATAAATAAATAAACAAACAAACAAACAAACAGAATACTCATTCTGAGAAAGGAGGGCAGCCTTTTATTCATAACTTCCAATTCAATCAAGTTTTGAAGGAAGGGGAACTGCCACTTGTCTTTTCCTCATAAGCTGATGGCACAAAGGGGGTTCCTTTAGAGCAGTGTTTCTCAACCTTGACAATTTTAAGGCATGTGGACTTCAACTCCCAGAATTCTGGGAGTTGAAGTCCATATGCCTTAAAATTGTCAAGGTTGAGAAACAT